ACAAACTCTGGACTGGATTCCTCGCGAAGCAAAACGTCTTCGAGAGAGGCCACCGCCCAGATGGGCTGACCTGTTCGTTGCATGGAGGGACCAGCTGAATTCTCACCTGGTAACGAGTAATGGACCTGGACCTCGCGAACGTCGCCGCCGCACTTCAATACCAGCATCGTGGACAACGCTAGCGAGAGACAGAAACGGATGGAAACAGTGCTATGGCCTGCACGACAAGTGAAAACAGGTCATCTAAGTATCTAAGTAAGTAAACTCTAATATGAATGGATTTGATCTGGGAGACAACCTCGCTCGCAGTTGGATCATGTCTCCTTATAAAACCGCTTGTAATTGTTTGGAAACGAAACGCAACAACAGGGACATATTCAAAATCTTTATAGCTCCTGCTTACAGTTAATATGTAACTGTTGAGAGGAAATAATTTCTTTACTTTTCAAGAGTGCTAAATTTTTGTACTGCAATATTCAGGTTCCTAAGAACATCAAAGGATGCCAGGGAACCTGAATATCGCAGTACAGATATATTTACCCAGTTAAATAAATTTTTTCTCCTAACATGTATATTTTCTAAAAGCGGAAGACATGCAGATTCTGAACATGCCCTCAACCTTGCGAAATGTTTTCAAGGAGGAAATATTGAAGCGATTTTATCTATGAGACATGAACCAGTCGCAAGCTTTGATCTCTCTCAAAATCGAGTCTTTCCGAAGTTTTGTTATGTTACTGAAAAAGTTTGCCTAAATATAGCTAACATCTTCGTTCCGTCTCTGTAGTAGCTGTATATGAAAGAAGTTTCCTTTGAGCAACGCAGCTAAGTGGCAAGGCTGGCTTACGAACAGTAGGTATTTCTTAACAATTTGAAGTGATATACTGCATATATATATATATATATATATATATATCATTCGATAGAGAAGATTCTCCTTTTTCCAGTTTATACTCTTGCAACTATATATAGCTAAAACAGTTGGATTTTCAAACAAAGAAAAATGACCTAAAAATATGTCGAATAGAATCTTCTTAAATGATCCTGGGTCAAAATAATTCTTCTAGCACAATTCTTCTGTAGAAATAGCCCATGCGCAATTTATTTTACAATCACATTGTTATAATGCAAATAGTTTTCAAGGTGTATATTTAAAGAGGTAAAATTTATTGTGACCCTATCCAACGGGAAAAGCCGATGTTGCACGCACGGAAAGAGACTTAGATGTTTTCTTTGTCCTAAGACTAACTGTTCTTTTTTACCTTATCCTAAAATACAGAGAGGACATAAAGGTTTGATTAACTCAGGGTAACTGCCATCCATTTTTTCATCAAGCTGGTCTACATGCAATGTATAAATGTTATAAAATCTGCATCACGCAATCCTATCGTAG